TTGCAAAGCGCAATGTATTCGTCTTGCAGTTGCCCACCAACCTTCATTCTGGCTTTCCTACTAACAATTATGTCAGTGAAGAGCTAGTACGTGGTTCACTTGTGTTTCTGTTGCTGTTTGACTAGATGACCGGATGGTACTTTTCAAGGTATCGATGAAGTGCTAGTGGTCTGCATTGATTCTGAAGTTCGATCGAAGAAGCCTGTGTGCGAAAGCTTCAGGATAGAATATTCGTCGAATAACCAGTGGTCCTTCAGCCTTTTAACCCAATCCTTTTTAGCGATATGGATTACGATTGTAGAGCAGAGTAATCTGTAGTCTGACCCCGTGCAGACCACGTTTTCTCCAATGACAGACACGTACGTTTTTACGCATCTTGTGTACGTTAGAACTAGTCGAATTGGTTGTGGATCATTCCATTCGGCCTCCTGCGCGTCCGCTGCCGCTCCTAAGCTTTTCTTAACATAGTATTCATGAGCAGGCGAATTTTTCGGCAACCACTACGTGGCCGGAAGCGCGTTCGTTGTCACTTCCAAACCTTACTGTGAGACTCTGTCTTGATTATTTCCTCTCCTACTGAGGCTTTGAAATTTACTTGGGCATCTTCGTGCTTATTCTTCCATGCGTAATATATATTTTTTACTGAGTTTCACAGGCAGTTCATTCAGTGCGCCTTCTTCATCTTCATGTTCATCTTTCATCGCCAATTCTCCTTTCGGGTCGCGGAGGCAGACGCGTCAGACAGAGCTTCCAATGTTCCCGATCCTGTGCCAGAGTCTAAGCTTCGGCAGAAGAAAAATGGAGTCTGTAACAGACTCCTTCCATATATCTGCACCAGGTTAATCTTGGCTGTCCCATTCAGTGTGCCAACCTTCGTAAACCCTTGCCTTCGTTCTCCAAATCCTTCAAGCAGCCCGTCGAAATCCAAACGAAAAGCACTTGGAAAGCATGTTGATCATGGTAGGGTTCAATGACCAATGCCTGCAACACCGTCGTACTCAGATGCAGCATGTGCAGACGGTTCACCATGCACAGGTTAAACCGGTAACATGTCAAGTAGTAAACGCAGCAATAATCTACTATAATAGAGAAGGATAAAGGTCTTCTTGGTTTAGAACAGGTGGCAGGAAGTAGTAAAATAGATGGAGCACAAGCGCGATGAAAATAAGTTATTATTGCAGTGCTACTTTACTACCGCATTCTCCAAGCCAGTGAATCATAAGGCCTTATCAACTAACTAAGTCATTATCACTAGGAACAGGTGACAGTTGTATCGTAAATACCAGCAATTTGAAGTTACAACAACTTTTCTTCGCCATTGAGCTAGCTTTGATCCTCAGAAATGTGGAAATGAAAATGAAAATACTTAATCTTATTAATCTGATTTAAACCAATAAAACTTATCATATAATCTGATTATAATCAAATTTCATATTACAAAAATAACATTTTCCCTTCGTTTCAATGAAAGCGGTACGCTAGTGCGGCAAATTTCAAGGCATAACTTCATTTTACTTAAAACTCACTTCTTTCTTGGTGTTGGTGAGGCAATCAGCAGAAACCTTCAGGTTGATGACCTTCATCGCCACATATTCGCCACCCGAACGGCTTGTCAGCAGCTTTACACTAAAAAATATTCGGTCAGTAAACTGAATAGTAAACGGAATCAGATACTGCAATGAAACAAAGCATCGATCTGAGAATCTTAATGAGCTGAAGCTCCAAATAACGAATGAGTGTCAATGATTAGATTTCACGGCGCATTGCACAGCTACCTTGTTCTTAGTTGCCACGGGTCATTTAAACAAGTCACGGCTCCATGGCATTTAAGCACTGCTGTGCTAATTGCATCTTGCACCATTTTGTTTGCTGAAACCACCTCGTTTTTATTACAAAAGATGTTTTAGGAGCTGGTACTCCTCAAATGCTACGGAAGAATCACCATAAACTGTTCGTTTGCCCGAGCATGTCAAAGAATCATCGAAGGTACGGTGCACCATGCGGTGAAATCTGGTTTTAGACGAGTCTTTCACATACAAGAAAAATGAATGCCTGAAAAAATTTGACAATTTTAACAACAGAAATTGCTAATACATGTTCATATTTATAGCTATTTTCGATATAGGTTTTTCAATGAGAGACAATCAAATTTGATACAATTTCTATCAAGTTTGCGCAACAAAAGACAGCGCGATTGAAAACATTCATTATGAAAACTTGGATATACAAAATCGACATACTCGCCATAGGTTCCTTCGCCTAGCGTGTCTGTGATATTCCAGTACTCAGTAAAAGGAACCTTCTGCCAGCCTGCATTTTTTCTAGCATTCTCGCTGTGGGGCATTCGAACAAGCATAGGTCTTCAATCTTCCCGCCTATATTAGGAATAGTAAGCAGGTAGATAACAAGACTTGCAGGTACAAATATGATTTTCAAAAATGCTACCTATGGTTAGTTACAGTAGTTACAATTTAAAAAATTTTTTCCGGAAAATGCGTTCGTTAATATTAGAGTTACACCCTACGTTCTAAAATTTCATCCGGTTGTATTTCAAAATAATTGGCTTGCGTGAATTAAGCTGTCTGCTTTGCATGAAGTTACTCCATGGCAGCTTTCTAGACTGTGCTTCATCAGTTGTTAACAATCGATGGCTTAAGGTGGGAGTGCTGCATGCAGCAAATTCTTTGAATTTCTCACGCAGAAGAGAGTATATCATTCTAGCCACAGTATATGTATGTCTTTTCCGCTGTTCCGTTATATGTATACTACAGTTTTACAGCTTAGTCAATTACTCTGGATGCTTTTAAAACCGCGGGTTTACTTGACATATATCCATTGTTTTTTGCGGTTTGGCATTGTCTTCCGATATATTACGGTACCTGAACAATATTACACGAAATTGTAGATGCCCATTCCATTGCAATTTACTCCATTGTGCGAAGCAGACTCTATCCATCCACTACGTCCAGCGTGTTCTTTTTCATTTCACGCTATCAATCAAACTTCGACGACAGCCGCTGTGACGCGGTTCTTTGACTGCCACCGGTGCGAATGTGGTTATGATAACTATATAGCAAATTCGAACTTCTTTTCCAAGGCTGTAGGTGTCTGCAGATTTGCCACTAGCGCTACGCAGAACCGAAGCATTACAGTAGTGTACAATGCATCGACAGAAACTACTGCCTTTTTCATAAAATTATCCTTGAATATTCATTTGTTAAGTATCTCCTTTAGCATGTTCATGCCAGTATTAAAATACTTTCCTGTTGTTTACCAGCTATGCGACATTTTCCCTGGTCGCAGTCAATTTCTGCACGCCCTCATACACGTTTAGTTTCAACTGACAAATAATTCAGTTTATAATCAAATATTTTTATACCTTGAAAACAGGTTAAGAAACGATACATTAATGGACAACGCGATAAAATGGTTTATCGGACGATGGACCGATGCCAACATTTGACTGTATTTTAAAAACCGTTTTAAAAGTAAACCGGTAGATTCAGTGCAGCAGCTGATCATTTTCATCTGTGATGCTAGCACACAGATTGTGCTCTTACTTATGTAGTCTTCTGGCAACACGAACAACGGTTTGAATTCAATTCTCGCAGAGTTTGCATGCTTGTTTTGCGATTGACGCCCCCTCACCGATATGAGACTGAATGACTAGTGTTTTCGTGATATTCTGTTCAGAAGTTTGCTTCTGTTATGATGATGGCACAGTCTGACCATCATGATACCCCCCCTCCCCTCTTGTCGCATGCCACACTATTCCGGAGGCTTACGTAAAAGTTATGAATATCGTGTCAGTTTCGGTTCCGAATGAAAAGAAGGTGGTTCTAAGCGACCATATTTATCCATATCCATTGATTTTAGAATTCATTATTCACGTGGTATTGTCGAAGAGCACCGTTAAGCAATTTTGCCAATGATCCCAGTTCTGCGCCAAATCATACCAGCTTTACAGTTTGGCTTCCTCGACGGTACAGTACTCACTGTACGACAAACACGGGTTTTCGGACACCAGACTCACCGTTTGCTAACCTCCTAGAAATGGAATTTGCGACACGTACTTCTGCTATGATCTTGTGATCACGTGTCAAAACAATTGATTGTAGTTTCCAGGTGTGGAAAAGAATCGAATTACACGGGCGCTTGTAGAACCTCGTTCCGGTTGCATACCTTCCTGCGAATATCCCCCCAATTTCATCGAACGTCATATGTACCTCTTCAGCAGATTGATTTCGTGATCGCATTCTTTTGATTTAGTTTCCAACACTTACGACCACGGACAACAATATGTCATTGTCAATATGTCCTGTTTTAATTTTATTAATCTCGCCAGGGTCGGTTTATGAAATCCATGGGATAATATGTATTTGCTCTATATGTGAAAATTGCGTTTTATGCCACGGTTACCTACATCCCTACGTCTTATTTCCTGCCCTTCACGATGAGAATTGATGCGTCATTACCTAAGGAAAAAATCAACGATAGTGTTTTTACAGTTGTTACTTTTTAAATTGCATTTTCACACCTGACCTGCAAATCACAATAGATCGTGGCCAAGAATTGTCAGGGCAGAAAAATGCGCTGTAATTACGCGATGACTAGCTGAAAAAAAGCGGACATTTCTTTTGTCGAACGTAGGAGCGTTATTGAAATTGCTGACGCGAAGGAGTGTCATTTGCATATACCTGTTCTAAAGTGTGCCATTTTTTCGATCGGTCTCCAGCAGACTGATATTTAGGTTCGCTGTGATTTATGAATAAATGTTTAAATCGAAGAAAACAGAAGCGACATGGGATGCTTTTAAAAGATAGTTAGCAAGTGAAGCGAATTATGGACGCTTAGGGCGCTATTCTGCTAGAAAAAATCAGGTAAACATTTTTTACTGATAGTCGTTGCATGGATATAACAATCGATTTGGTGCTGATGGATATGCGAGCTAATAATAGACATTAATACCAGTGCGCAAATATTCATTAATTATTATAACGAACATGAATCAGAGTAGCTATTCGTGTTGTCTGTGCTAATTTATTGATGCGTTACTTGGGACCTGCATATTGAGGCTGCTCACAAACTACTAAGTAACGCAGCATTTAATGCCTCATCCTGGAATAGCAGAAAATTGAAAGACAGGCGTACGGCTGAGAGTGAAAGTAGGAGCATGCTATATCATTGTAATATCAAAGACATGTTGCAACATGGGCTGCTATCGTTGAACCAAGTAGACCTTTGACTGAGTTCGGTAAAGCAGTAAACGGCCCATAGGAAAACCTTCAGATCAATGGCAAGATGAGCTGAAGAATTTAGTCGGATCAGTATGGATATGAATCTCAAACGACAGATCTCTGTTTGCTAAATCTTGGCCATCATTCACAAGCTGATCGGAAAAGGCTGATGTTGGCGATGATGTTGATGATTGTGACTCAGATGACAGGTAGAACGTGGTCTGAAACTTCGGTTGTGTGGATAAAATATCAGTGATTAAATACCTGTGGCTGTTTGCTCGTTGTGGCATCCAAAATGATATCCTAACTTTCCTCAAAAATATGATGTAGTATACTTAATGTTAATATATACCTGCCAATTCTTGTTCGTGTCTAAGTGATGTGCAAAGATAAGAGTGTAACGATATGCTGAGATGCAGTAATATAGAGTGTATTTTCTCTCGCGGCAGCCGTGGAGGATTCATAGTCGTAATTACTATTATAATCTCAATGCTCGGTGATGGACGCTTTGGTAACCAATAAATAGCCAATATTTTTTGCCATTGAGGTAGATTAATTTAGGATAATTATGTGCGAATAAAAAATGCCAAGACAGAATGGCCAAGGTCACAAATAGAAATTAAAATGTTATTGAACGAATGAACAAGATGAAGTGGCCATGGTAAGGCCACTTTTCAAGAAGAGCTATCCATCGCGGGACAAGAGCGAACCAAGGTTGGGTTTTGAGAGACTATAAACGGCAATGAGATGATCTGCAGATCGATGGCAGGAGGAGGTGATGAAGTACGTCAG